CCCCAAGGGATCCCAGACTGCGAGAGGGCACAGCCTGGCTGAAGGACCCTCCCCAAGAGTGCACAAATTTTTGTGCACTGGGCCTCTAGTCTGATATAAAGAACTCCCCAGAATATACAATTTTTGTTTTCTTTCAGTCTACAGAAATTTTTTTTTTCTCTAACTTCACTGGCCAAAGAAGTAGATCAATCTCATAAAAAGGCAACTCCCTATTCAATTAACACAAGAGTAGTAGCAAGAAGGCCAATGGCTCAACAACATAGGGAAGACCTCCAGCTCCAAACCAGGCTAAAGGCCCTTGGTGTGCTAAGACACTCCTGGACTCCAGACCCGTCTAGGACTGGAGAGTCAACAAAGCCATAGGGGTCAACTGTGACTTTCCTCCAAGGCTCTCCACCAACACAGAAGTTAGGGGACACTGAGAGGTAGAGTTTCCTTAGAACAAGGAAATTCAAATGTCCCCTCCTCAAATATCATAGGTTGGCAATTAATTCCACACCTCCACTAGACCCCATTCAGCAACATACCACAACCCAGCACCACCTCTATATGAAGTGAAAATAGCCTATAAAAACCCTGGCCACCCAGACTTATTCTTGATCAAGGTTGTCAAAAAGAAATAAAATGTGAGCCATACAGTGTAATTTTACATTTCTAGTAGTCACATTTAAAAAGAAAAAAAAAACAGTGAAATTAATTTTTGCAATGTTTTATTGAACCCCACATATCCAAAATATAATCAGTATAAAAATGTATTATTAATGAATTATTGTTCTTTTTTCTTTGTGTACTGTCTTCAAAATCTTGCTTTACACACTTAGAGAACATCTCCATTTGGACTGGCCACATTTCAAGTGTTCAACAGCCACACGTGGTGAGTGACCCCAAACTGGACAACAGAATTCCAGGTCAGGGGTCAGGAAATAATGACCAGCAGGAACTAAGAGTGTTTTTTGCGATTTTAATTGTTTGAGAAAAATCAAAAGAAGAATATTTCATGATGTAAAAATTATTAAAATTCATATTTCCATGTCCACAAACAAAATATTATTGGATCATAGTCATATCGCCTTACATAGTTTTTGTGGCTGCTTCGTGGCAAAGTTGAGCGAGTGGTTAGACAGAGACATATGGCCCATAGAGCCTAAAATATTACTGTCTGGCCCTTTATAAAAAATATTTGCTGTTCCCAGTTCTAGTTGATCATGAGACTTAGATGTGGTATAAGCTACATGGAGGCTGAGCCACAAAAGTATAAGCAAACTATCTCCAGAATTTCTAAAGCTGAATGAAACACAATCTCAAAAAAGTGACATCAATCATATAAAAAAGCTTGTGTATAACCTCAAAATAGCTATTAAAATTAAAACTAATACTAGATCTTATGCTTTCACTCTCATCTCTCCTTTCTCTTCCTCCACCAACAAAATGCTTGGCTCACACTGCTTTTATCTATGTGTGTCTAAGCGCAATATTCACAAAATTTTAAATATGTATATTATGATCAAGACAAAGTAGAAAAACAATAATTGAGCACAAGAAATAGATTAGCATAATGGAACTATGATCTTTTTCCTCCTTTATTCTTTATAATGAGCTTTTATAACTTGCACTTTTACAAAGGAAAAAATTATTAGATCTATAAGAACCATCAGGATTTTACCTCCACTGGGATTTTTACTTTAAATTACACATCTTTTGGAAATTTCTCTTATCTCTGTGGAAAGTAATAAATGTGTTTTCCTTCCAAATAAATTGAAAAACCCTTACCATATTCTGCAA